TTTCCCCACTGAGGAAACCATCTCTTAATCTGCTATGCATAAAATCTTTTATGTTGTGAGTTTCTTTGGTTTCATTTGCATTGTATGGGTTGCAAATAGTTCTTCAAGATGACTCACAATTCACTCAAAATCACAATTTTAGGGGCCGCAAAAAGAAAAGATAATACTTTATTGATCTCACAAAGGAAAAAGGCTGAATATTAAATTAAATGTATTGGAAAATACACAGCACTCGGATAGATGTTCAAAAGATCTAGTATTTATTACGTTTCGGCCTTAGCCTTCGTCAGATCATTTTTATCTTATTCATTTGGATCACAATATGAATATTAAATTAAAGCATATAACATTTGTGGATAGCACTCTTGCTTCTCAGCAAGAAGGTCCTGGGTTTGAATCCTGGTCAGAACAAGGCCTTTCTGCATGGAGTTTGCATGTTCTCCCCGTGTCTGCGTAGGGTGTTCAGATTTCCCCTACCCCTTGACATAAAATTATTCATTGTTTGTGCATCATAACAAAAATCATATTTTGATAAATTTGATATTTTTTTTGATTTTTTTTTGAAAATTTTTGATATTTTTGATAAATTTGGGAAAAATTGTTCAATACAGAATTCTTTCTCAAATTGTATTTCTTTCTATTCATTCATGTTTTGCATGTGAATTTGCTTTTTAAGAGTTAAAGATGCAGTAAGCGATTTTGTTAGCTTAGCCGTAGCACCAACTGGAAACTCAAGTTCAATCTGGAGAGACTCAGAAGACAGAATGCAGTTTGGATGTTTTTAATGATAGGTAGTTTGGCAAACCGGACGGCAGAATTTAGGTGCCCGAGCAGGGAGAGCAGCTGGCGCCTCGACATTGGCGGGGCCCGGACACCGCCCGCGCCAGAAGCCGTGTGGCCCTGCGGGGATTGAGGAAGGCCGACAGCAGGTCGAGGGATGCGAGGGACGCCGACGTCAGGAGGAAGATTATGAACGCCCCAGTCGGGATGGAGTAGGAGCGCATGGGCGAGCCTGTGGAAGACCGGGGCCGAGAGGCGGGCGCTTAGCAAGGCGCGGATGAAAGCCCCTCGGAACGGCGGCCTCACGGGAGCCGGGACGGGCCCCACAGCACGGAGCGACGAAGGAACCAAGGACAGCACGTCTAGGACATCAGGAGACACCAGCTTCGACGGAAGGCCCGCCTCACATGGACCAACAGCACCTACAAGACAGAAACTGTTGCAGCGTATGAAATGCAGCCACGTTGACCCGCGGCATGGACAGACCAGATTCCGCCCAGCATCTCTTTTTTAAAAATTTTTTTTGGGAACTGCAGCGTCAATGACCAGCAGCTCGAGGATTGTTTTCTCATTCGCGCCCTTGCATGTTTCTTGAAGGACCCATCAAACATGAAATTTTATCATTGCCACGCCGAAGAGGTCCGCAGTACCGCTTTGCAGGTACTGCGGACCCCCCCCCCCCCCCCCCCCCACAGTTGGAACGAAAGCTGAGACCACGTTCTCTGAGCAAGACGAACCATAGTCAGCGCAGTCCCTTATGTGGAGCACAAGATCTTCCACTGGACCCGAAGCGCGGACCGTTGATAATGTGCGAGACGGTCTGCGCCAGTACGAAGGGGAAACATTTCACCACTCCGTGCTTTATCACGTTCTCCGAGATCAGCCCAGAAACGATGCAACCAGCGCTCGGGGCATCAACAGCCCGCCTGCAGTCCAGAGCACGGGGTCAAAACAGCCAGCCTGCAGCCCGGTGCGCTGGGTCAAAACAGCCAGCCAGCAGTCCAACGAACGGGATTAAAACGAACGGCCTGCAGACCGATGTGAGGGACCAAACTGAAGGCCAGCCGTCCAATGCTAGGGATTAAAACAGAGCCTGCAGTCCAACGAGAGGGATTAAAACAGAGCCTGCAGTCCAAAATGAGGAATTTAAACTGAGAGCCTGCAGTCCAAAGTAAGGGATTTAAAGAGAGCTTGCAGTCCAATGTGAATGATTTAAACTGAGAGCTTGCAGTCCAATGAGAGGGATTTAAACTGAGAGCCGCAGTCCAATGAGAGGGATTTAAACTGAGAGCCGCAGTCCAGAGTGAGGGATTTAAACAGAGCCTGCAGTCCAATGCGAGGGATTTAAACTGAGAGCCTACAGTCCAATGCGAGGGATTTAAACTGAGTTTGCACACCGATTAGAGTTTCGCTTTTCAGCCCGAGCAGGCCCGACCAGAGTTCGGGCCGGGCTCGGGCCTCATTTAGCACTCAGCTGTCGGGTTCGGGCTTCTTTTTTTAAATATATGTCTTTTTTATTATTATTATTATTAATATTTCAGAACAAGTATATATATATATATCACAATGTCGGTGCACAATCGTGCTTTTATTCTGTCGGTGCACACAGAGTACCTTTTATTGCAAATGTATTCCAATGTAGGTTTTATACTGCACATGGCCAATAAATGAATCTGAATCTGATGTCCGTTGATTGACAACAAGTTAATAAAAAAGGTGAATTTATTAATGACACCGTAACCAGCGTATCCTACAGCAGCAGCGAGCCGTGAACGCCTCACCCTGTGTCTCCTGCTGCATGCTGTGATCAACAGCGAACAGGAACAATAGTAGAAATGGATCAAGTGGAGACAAAACAAATTCAAAAGTGGAGACTAAACTTGCAATTGGAAGGTGAGTGCGTACAACGGGAAATCAGATGTGTCGGGTTCTGTCGGGCTCGGGCCTGTTATACAGCGTTCATTGGTCGGGCTTATACGGGCTCGGGCTTAACATTAGCGGGCTCGGGCCGGGCCGGGCTTCATTTTTCAGGCCCGAACGAAACCGATGCGCGGGGCCAACTGAGCCTGTAGTACAATGCGAGGGGAATAAACCGTCCGCAGGTCAGCATACTTGCCCACAAACGCCAGAAGACAAGGGAAAGACAACAGTACCACACCGTACCGGCACGAGGAGGCAGGGATGCGCACCGCTCCCACCGCACCGGTCCAGACCGGCCGCGTGCAGCAGCGGCCGCGACGAGACGAGCAGCGGCGAACCCGCAGAAAGAGCCCGCAAAGGAGGAGAGCGGCAAAGACCCACGGACCACAGCACGAGACCCGCAGCAGGTGCAGCGGCGCGGAGGAGGAGCAGACCACACGCAGCAAGACGGAGGACAGCAGGGACACGCACGAGTAAGTGAGAGTAGACGAAAGCGATTCCTCCAGAACGACTCTTTGCGAGGCTTGAGAAGGCCGTGAAGTGGGAGTCTCCGCTTTTAAGCTGCTTGCCTGGCCTGCATAGGTTGGCTGGGAATGGGCATTTGCTGTGTGATAGGCCGAGGATGAGAGGCAGGTTTGGAGGGGATAGCTTTGGCAATCAGTCTACCAGATTGAACCTTCGCGAGCTCCATATTTGTGCAAAAGAAAGAAACGTGCAAACATGTTCAATGCAGGATATATTATGTACAATAAGAGTGGCAATTAAAAAGTGGCAATCAAAGAAACAGTGGCAATAGTAGTGCAGGTTTTTTTTGTCCTAGTGCATGTGACTTGAAGTGACTTATTGTACAGTCTGACAGCAGTGGGGATAAAGGCTCCCTCTTGCACTGAGGGTGTCTCAGTCTTCCACTGAAGGAGCTCCTCAGCTCCTCTACAGTCCTGTGCAGTGGGAGGTGTTGTCCATGATGGAGGTGACTTTGACTAGCACCCTCCTGTCCCTCACCTCCTCCACAGAGTCCAGGGGCCTCCTGTCCAGAGTGGAGCTGGACCCTCCTGATCAGCTTGTTTAGTCTGCTCCTGTCCCGCTCTGTGCGGCCCAGCACACGGCAGCGTGTATGGCAGACGCTACCACAGAGTCATAAAAGGTCCTGAGCAGAGGCCTGCTCACTCCAAAGGGCCGCAGCCTCCTCAGAAGGTGGAGGCAACTTTGGCCACCCAGGTACTTGAAGCTGTCCACCAGCTCAATGTCCTCCCCCTGGATGTTCAGCAGCGTGTGGGAAAGTGGTTTTCTCCTGAAGTCGATGACCATCTCCTTGGTCTTACTGGTGTTCAAGCACAAGTGGTTACGCTCACACCAGTCGACAAAGTCTGTGATAACCGACCGATATTCCAGATCGTTCCCCTCAGGCACACAGCCCACGATGGCGGAGTCGTTGGAGAACTTCTGCAGGTGGCATCTGTGTGTGTCGTGTGTGAAGTCTGAAGTGTAGATGGTGAAGAGAAACGGTGAAGGCCTGGACTGGTACTGATGAAGCACATAACGGACACACCGATGAAAGGGTTTGGTGTTTTATACGTGCATTTATATGATAAATTCACACTCAATACTTTTATGACACTTTTGATGTTACGACAGAATGCAGAACTAAATGCTTTTCCACTTTTTTTGGTTACCTGAAGGTTGAAGCGAAGGTATGTGCCGTCGCAGATGACCTTGATTTCTAATCACATGGACGCTGCAAATAGTCGTGTCTTTTACCAACAATAAAATGTCAGCTGTAGCACAATACCAGACCTCTTTTGTCATTTTCTTCACAGTGTAGAAACTATTCTAAGATAGCGCTAGGTATATGTGTAATGCAATGACCTGCAGGTGACTAGTGTGGGCGATATTTAACACATACGCACATAGAGTTTGTCATGCAGCCTTCGTCGTCACTGCTCACATGCTCTTTCCTTCTCTATAATTTCGCCCAAACATTTTAACAATTCGAACTTGACTCACGTCTTTGCCAACAAGTCTCCAGCAGCAGCTCTGAAATACCCCCATTACTTTTCATTACTGATGTGTTTGTATTGATGCTAATTTTAGCCCGTGTCATTCAGCCTCAACAGTTTCAAAGCCAATTTTACGCACGTTGTTTGCGCAACTTCTTTGTCTGATCTCTGCTTTGAGCTACAACTGTGAGAAATGTGGCTCGTCTTGTAAAGCCAGTTTTTCTGAGGGTGTTTTAGATTTACCGAGGTGGACTTAAGCCACGCACTCATACATGCATTCACAGCATTCACACACAGGACAAGATGTTGCACCTGGTCGGAGTAAGTCATTTTAATATGAATTTAAAACTATGTACATTGTTGGAAAGTTTATAGAAGTTATGAATAGGATGTTAATTTGAGAGTGTTTTTCTGTTTTAGGCTGCGTTTGGTCTTCTGATGATAATTATGCTGTTTTCCAAAGGACTCAAAGAGGTAAGAAAAAACTGGAGATAGAAATTGTTTAGAATTCTTGTGGATATAGAGGCAAGGCAAGTCTATTTGTATAGCTCAGTTCAAAACAAGGCAAATCAAAGTGCTTAATATACCTAAAAAAGAAACATGAAAATATAAGTTATTAAAATCATAAACAAATAGTGAAGATACAATGCACAGCTAAACAAAACTGTTTTAAACCTGGATTTGAATATTGTCAGCGTTGCAGCCTGTCTCACATTTTCAGAAAGACTGCCAGATTTTAGCCACATAAATCTGAAACTCTCGGATCAATTCAGGAAAAAACAAAGTCTATGTTTGAATACAGAATCTTACACATCTTAAAACAAGCCAACAACAGACTGAATGTATTCTGTCTATAGCTTGTAGTAAATAAAATGTCCTGTTTCTTTCACATTTGCAATAATAGACATTTGTCACTGACCTTTGCATATCTTTATAAAGTGACAAAACTGATAAAAGTATAATTTATTGTGTCTTTTCACAAACAGGGCTCTCAGTGTCAGAAGTCCCCAACGCCCGAATCTTCTGCCAACGCAAAAACGGTGAGTTGCGAGAGTTATGCAACATTTTACCAGGCAATTTTCCCCTTCAAAACAATTGTGACAAAAATGAAATAGATGTTTGTTACGGTGTAGGTAATATTCCATGTATTTGGGTCTCTGCAGTCATTCTCTCCACACAAACAGCTTTCATTTGTTTTTTTGCTGTAGCTTCGCACGTTTTCAAGGCGTGAATTCTGTTCCTATTTTCAGTACACTTTGGGTGTGTGTGTTTGTGTGTTTGTATGATCCACACGCCACAGACTAATTTCACACGACCAAAGTTGTTATCTTTACTTGAATTACCTTTGAATATGCTCAGAATCCGACTTTTTATTGCCACCGTAAATAACAGGAAGTTACAAATCAGGAATTTTGCGTTGGCAGCAGACAAGGAGCAGATAGAAACAGTACATGTCTCTATAAAAGTCTATGTACCCCTCTTTTACACACATGACAGAGTTACTGAATGTGTAAGTTCACTGTAAAAAGACATCTGAAAATATGGTTTATGATGAGTTTTAAAAAGATTCACAATGGTTCATTTTGTCTTGTTGAGTTAAAATGTGTTTGTGTTTTCTTGAAAGACAACAAAGACAAGACCTTGTTAATGTTTTGGCTGCAGAGGTGCGAGCCATCTTGATTTTACTGATAATATACTTGTCTTGTTACGTCAGCTGATAAAGGACACAAAGATGTTATTGAAAACAAGGTAACACAACTAACATTCCTTAAAAGAACCACAAAAAACAAAAGCGGTTTTTGAAATATATGAATTCAATACATTTTGACTTTTCAAAAACATCAATGGGACCAACTTTACTACAGTATGTTATTCCTCCAAGCGCCTCCTCCAGTGTGTTTTTCTTTCTCCTTGTTTTGACTGAAGGAAAAACTAAAATTCTTTATAAGTAACAATATTCAAACCTCTTGATGCCTTTAGTCCGCAGTTCGAGCAGTATTTATGTTGGAATATGTTTAATGAAAGAGAAAGAAACACATTTTTTTTAACTTGAAATAGGAATCAAATGAGATTGAGCGATAAATACAACTAAACTTGTGTGTTTTTGCGGCAAGTCGTGGATTATGACTATCCCCGACATTTACAAGCCGATGTTTTGATAATATTTTGCTTCTAACATTTTTCTCTCATGGATCAATCCCCGAATAATCCTAAATATTGGTTATTCTATTAGATCCTACTATATTCTAAACGTCTGTTCCTGCTTGTGTTGTTATTGTGACAAAGGTCAAAATGAAAATGCTGCTGTGTTTAAGGAAGTCGTTTTCAAATGATTTTCAGAATTTATGTTGTGTCTTGAGCCGAGTTTCAAGCGTCAGGATTTGAAACGAGTCTCGTGAGAGAAACTTCCCAGTGTTGAAACTGTCACCACTGCCTCTTCCATGTTACTCACGGCTGCATCATTACAGTCTGATAGTTTCACACACAAGGCTGAGGTTTCAACACGTTCACACAATCAAAAATGTTTTAGAAATCTTTCTGTTTCACCTTTTATTGAGCAGTGAATTTAGATTTTTTTTGTTTTGTTTTTATGCATAACCCTATATCTAGTGTTTACTTTTTTAATAACTTGTTTGCACCATCTACCAAAGCAAATTCCTAGTTTGTTGCTTACATTGACAATAAAAATAGTTCAGATTCTGTTCAATGCGTCTTCCTTTGTATTTAAAAACGACACATTTGTCAATTCAACTTTTTGTCATGTTCTGAAATCTAGCTTACAAACTTAAAATGTGAAAATGCTACAGGAACCAATTTTGCTTGTATGATTGAATCTATATTGTGCTATGGCTAAAGAAATCCCACATTTAGATTGAAGTCTAATCATGGATTTTCATTTGGAAATCTTCTTATATTTGTTCATTCATTTACAGCCTTATCTTTTATATTGTGAGCTTCAGTCCAAGAGGTGTTCTGTGCAGATCAATGAAGCTAAAACCCAAAGAAATTCACTGTTCAAAAAGAAGAAAACTAGAAATCACTGCAAAACTGCAGAAAACTCAGTCATAGAATTTTGTGCTTTAAATCAATTCAATCCTGATCCAGTCTAAAACAGGCAGTATGTGTTCCTCGTTCAATCTGCACATTTATAGCCCAGTGCTCTGTGAATGTGGTTCAGTTGCATATTTTCTGTGATAAATCAGTCTTAAGATTTGAGAGAACATGTTTGAACGAGGAGGAAATAACGTTATCGGGATCTAATCTTGGACTCGTTAAATAGAATGTTAATGGCTGTGTTCCGATCTGCTCCTGCATACCTTCACACTGCTGCACACACATAGCATTAGAAAGAACAATAGAAATACCATCCATACAGATATTTATTAAAACACTAAAATACTGTGCGGAGATGCAGATTTAGACTAAGACACATTATTAAGCATGAGATAAATGACTAATTATAATGATAATCGCTCCTGGACTCACCACCTGCAGGAGGATCAGTGAGGGGCTGGTGCTCTGTGTGCTGGGTGTCTCTCTGACTGTCACCCCCCCGACCCAGAAATGGATTACGGGGAAGAAAATGGATGAATGTATAATAATAATAATAATGCATTGGTTTTTTATAGCGCTTTTTTGGACACTCAGAGAATTATGTAGGCCTAATGTTCAAGAAAATAACTATAAAAGCCATGTTATGCTTAATTAATCAAGAAGAATTCATTTCATTGATTCTGAATGCGCATATACAAAAACCTGACCCAGATATTACCCTATGTCAGACGGTCTCCTTCTCTCTCAATAAGGAAAATAAAGAAGCTTTGCATGAGAAACACAAATACTTTAGCTGCTGTAACTCCAGACGAATGAGAATATATGAGTACTCCAGAAATATACTGTTCAAGTAAAGTTTATTTACAAGTATACATATAATATATCAATCAATAGTTCATGTATGTACAGTAGAGTTGGTGAAAATGTGAGGGAGTATTTTTTCTGCTTGTATGAAAACTGTACAATGACATGGAACAACAACACGGTCAAAAGCTGTAACATATTCAGAAAGGTATTATGCTCTTTAAAGATGCTTTCAATAACGTTTATTCTCTTCCACAGAAACCGCTGAGTGACGAGGACGTTCATCTCCTGGCTCGGGTCTTGTCGCTGGGTCTGGTAGACGCAGATCCCAACTATCTCCACCACCTCAAAGGCTACAGGGACCTGCACGTTGGATGAAGATCAAAAAACCACCCAAACTTTATTTGCAACTTCTCTGCCTGAGCCGCATGAGACCGGGGTTCAAAACTGCATAACTTTATTGATAACGTCTCTGCCCGAGTTGCATTGAGGTCGCAGTTTCCTCCTGATCTTGCCAGAGAGATGGACACGCCACAGCGGGAGGTGGCACCGGGGAATACGGAAGGTATTCAAGTCGACGATGGACAGACTGAGGATTTAACGGGACTCAAAAGGATTATATATAGTTCTTTGGAAAGGCACAGTGGTTCATTGTCAGTCGGGTTTGATAAATAAGGCCTGGTTCAGTCTCACTCTATGCATATCGGTGCTCTTGAATGTCCTGAGCCGCTGCCGTGTGTCGGATTATCTTTGCTTTGTCGACATCTGTTCAATTTCTTTACCTAAACAGGAGAAAATAACAAAACTCTGTGAGAAAATGAAAGCATGGAAAGATCAAAGCTGTACTGGTTTTTTGCACGGATCAAGAAAACCATTACGACTACTGCTTTTTCATGCCCTATTCTATACCAACTCACCATCATCATCGAATTGGCAATTAAGTTCTAGTTTCTTATCTTTTGATCAGTTTCTTTTCGTTCCTTTAAAACTTTCAAAAAATGTTATCGTCAGGTCAACTTTGAGTACAAGCTGTTCAAAGATACGGCCGTAGTCGTTATGCCTGATTCCTGTGTTGCATAAGAAAGGGTTTTTCCATTCTTTTGCATAGAGGTGGAATGGAATTTTTTAAAGGTGGAAAGAGATCCTTGTAGTTATGTAGATGGCTTCTTACTCTCCTAAAGGCATGCTGAACTTTCATTTGTACTTTTTAGTTTTATGACTGCCATTCGATATGCATGTGACCATCAAACTCCTGGATATAAGAAAGTCAAAATCAAAAAGTAATTATGTATTTAAAATGGTTCCAGGCAAATTCAACATTCTGAGATGCATCAAGACCAGTTTCAAATCCAAACGTACAACTCAAATATAGTCAAACATTTTACGTGTATTCTGCCAGGACCTTTTTTTGCTTCATTACAGGTCCTTAAATCTAATTGTCAGTGAGATTATCCTCAGCCTTGAAAGGGAAATGGTCAAACCCAAGTCAGCTGGTCCACACCTCAGAGCAGTTACACCCTCCTTTGTACTGGACATGGAGGCGGATTCTACTCAGACTGTTCCCACATATTATTAGAGTAATTTACTAATTCGCTTCACAAAAAGTCCAGCCATTTGTTTGCACTCAAAAGGATTCTCAAACAAATTTGTTTTTCAGTAACTTTACTCACATATACCAGGAGTGTGAGGACTTGAATTGAAAGTGTGTACGTTTTCGATGTCAGGGCCCATCTGTTTGTCTCAAGAAAATTGCATTTATTTGTCATATTTGTCACATAGTCTTATGATAAAGCTTTCAATATTTTATTTATTTAATCCCAGTAGTTTTATGGGCGCACATTTGTCATATACCTTGTTTCCATGGAGATTGAATAGAACAGAATGTTTCAAACCCTCCTCCTTTGATGTTCTTGCACCTTTTGATGTTACTCCGCTTTTGAGACAAGCTTATACTTTGTTTAATGAAAGTTTGAATTTTATATAATGTATTTGCATTAAAGTAACTTATTGAAACACCTTTTCCTTTTTGTGCATTTTTCAGGAATCAGCTCTATAATTAGGGATATGTTGGAAAGGTTAGCTCATGACATTATTGCACTTATTTAGATTCTGTATTTGGGAAAAACGTGTATATTCTGACTGTTCACTTAGTAGTAATAGCATATAAGTAATAATGTGAAAATGTGTGATATTTAGAGCAGTCTTTTCAATCTTTGGCCTGGAGTTCAGTTGATCCATAAGGCCAAAGGAAACGCAGTATTGTCATTTGAACGCTGACAATTTTGGAATACACTTTGGGAATTTGGGCCTTTTGTTTTCACATTATATTTCCAACGACTCCCACACATTCAGGGCATGTTTGTGTGTGCTTTTTGACCGCAACTTACCCCATAGTTTGTTGTTGAGTTTCTCCCCGGCCACATACAGCCCTGTCACCACGGTCATGTTGAAGAGGAAAAACCCCACCAGTCCGACAGCGCTGAAGTATTTGAGGAGAGGGTAGACCCAGATCCCGACCGATAAGTAAACCCACACGATCCTGTCCAACCAGACCACAGAGAGGACACGTCGTAAGAGTGATATTTACGGTCTATGGTCGTAACTCAGCAGCAGCAGTGTTTTACAGACAGAGGAACAGGTCGGACTTGTGCTGAGGCTGAGCAAGTCTATGTGCCAAAATGTGTTGCATAATTAAATAGGACTAATTGTTAAGAGTCCAATGCTGTATTTTCACACTTGCGTAAAGCATGAAGCCTGATGTATGGCTTGGATAATTCTGTAATGACAGCAGAAGGAAATTAAAATGTATAATTTGAATTAAAAAAACCCAATGTGGAACAAAGACATCAACTGAGTTACTTTTCTTTGGTAAAATGTAGAAAAAATCCCATATTCTCTGATCTTAATACTCATGGACATTGGTCATCTGCCACTTATGTTTTATTCTCTGCTCTGTGTTGGCAAATTCAATGGTTTTGTAAATGTCTCTACTGTTGTGATTTAGTGCTATACAAGAATACATTGAATTGAATTGATCTTTTAGGATTCAAACAACTAGCGCATTATTCCGAAGAACAATCTGTTGTGGAACTAGCGATAATCAGATTCAGATTCAGATAAGATTATTTGCCATTTGCAGTAAAAAACCACATTGGAATACATTAGCAAAAATCAGCATGTTTTTGTGAATGCAAAGGTACGACTGAGGGCTTACACAAACCATGTTTTTGTGAGTTGTTATAGCAGGAAGATGAATTATGTTTTTGTTCTGTATGTTTCTCAAATATGTTCAATATTTGTACAGTTCCAGTTATCCAAAGTATGTGTGAGACGAGATGTTCTTCAAGCGAGGACATAATTCACCTTCTGCAGCTGTCAATGTGTTTGTATGTGATTTACACGTGTACTTTTGAAACGGCAGATTATATGATTTTTGTCTTTTGTTGATTATTATGTGCTATTTCTTTCAAAAGGCACAGAATTGTTGATTCATTTTCTTTATTCCTTTTCCACTAAACTACAAAAACAATATACATCCCTTTGACTTTTCTAGAGCTCTTTAAGGGTTGCATTTGCTGAAAGGTTCACTGCAAAATATCACACCAAAGAGAGTTTTTTGATACTGACTTTGAGATTGACTTTATAAGCAAATGAATCTATTGATGTCTCAAAGTATGTGCCATGCCAAGTTTAATATCAAAATCTCCCTCGCTTTATTTTAATCTGCACTTGATCTTTAACATTTGTCCTACTTTTTTTTCATCCCTCTGTGCACTTGCTCCTGAAGTAATATTAAAATAACTTGTTTTAAGTCAATAATATACTCTTGCTCCATTGGCTCCATAATTCAGCGTGTTAAATTAGGACATTTAGATGTGTTTTAAAACTTAGCATTAATACTGGGATAATCTTCTGTAAAGTTGCTTATTTCTATATTTAACCACATTATACTATAAAAAGAATTCGGAATTCCTTCGTTTGAAAGCATTTCTTTGGCTCAAACCCTTTAGCTTAAATCCACACACTCATGAAGCTAGATTGTTTTTGTGTTTAATATTAAAATGGAAAAAGACAGACAGAATGTTCAGTTGTGACTTCACTCTTACCACGATAAATAGGACACGCCCACGAGGGTCAGAGCGCCCACGGCCTGTTGGGTCTTTGGGTAAACATGATGCTGTATAAAAACTTCAGCCAGTAAAATGGGCAAGACAAAGGTGTGCTGTGGAGAAATATGATGTTAAATATATTTTATAGGTTGCATGATATCTGTGTTTTCAAATGCACTGACCATAGCGTGGTTCATCCAGGGAGGGAAGAACTTGTCGATGGAAGCCGGATAGACCAGCTCTCGGTCGTAGGCAAACAACGACCAGAAGAGCAAGACCACAAACTGAAAAAATATCCATGAATGAGAAAATGGGAGGTTTTCATAGCACCATTCGTATAACAGCACCTTGAAATGCTTAATCCTGAACAAAACACAGATACACTTTAAACAACAGCAGAAACATTGCAAGTGTGACAAGATGTTCAGACGATTGGGATGTGCGTGTTTTCCTTTTTAAATCAGTAGCTACCATTCACACCAAAATACATGTATCTACTGTAGTTCCTTGTGCTAAAAAAATACTGGTTTTGCAGGCTTGTAATTTTAGGCCCTTATCCCATTTCTCCTTTGTGAGATCAATAAAGTATAGATTTTTCAAACAAAGAAAAGTAGAAATTGACAATCAAGAAGTGGGATGTTGTGGTTGTTCATAAACTTTTACAGTTCTGTTGGGAGAGGGACAAACACTATGTATTACTTATGAAAGCACTAACTTATGTATCCCAGCTTTAAGTACTTTAAGAACTCCCAAACAATCATTATATTGAATTTCAAACTTATCTTCAGGCTCAATAGTGGACAGAAACTGAGGGATTTTGTATTTGAATCTTTATTTTTAGTATACTGTGATTATGAGGGCGGCAGTGGCTCAGTTGGTAGAGCCTTTGAGCCTGAAGGTCGTGGGTTCAAGCCCACCACAAGACCTTCTCCACCGACTCCCACTGTCTGCTGTCGTTGTGTCCTTAGGCAAGACACTTCCCCCCCATTGCCTAGAATGAGTCTGGTGTGTTTCTGAATGATTGGTGGTGGTCGGAGGTTGCCTCGCTTCTGTCAGTGTGCCCCAGGGCAGCTGTGGCTACAGTAGTAGTTTATCACCACTGTGTTTGGAGTGAATGAAAAATGACATGTGAAGCGTCTTTGAGTGTCCAAAAAAGCGCTATATAAAACTGATGCATTATTATTATTTATTTATTTATTATTTTAATTCTATCTTGATTTGTTCAGCACTTTGAGTTGCCTTGTGTATGAATTGTGCTATACAAATAAACTTGTCTTACCTTGCCTAAAACCCCTCATCAGCGAATAAGAGTTAATGTGGCTGCTTTAAATCCTGCCTTTTCTCTTCTCTAAGATTTGAATGAGATTTAAAAACACAATACCATAGAAGTTGTGACTCACCATTCCCACAGGAAACCCAAACACAGAGAACAGCAGGTCTTTGCACTTGTTCAGAGAGCTCTGGGTCTTCTTCCCGTCCTGCAGATCTGAGGCTGCGGCCAGACCGAAAAACACCATCTGCAGCAACTTCATCCACACAAAAAACAAATTATAGAACACATTTTGAATCCAAACATTCACCCATGATATTGCATTATATGTTCTAAATCATGCATCATAAAGATCCTTTACTTGTCCAACAGTGGGGAAATTCCAGTGTTGCATCACAAGTTACAGAGCAGTAAGAATGAGGAGCACACAGCACAAGATAATCAGAATCAGAATCAGAATCATTTTTATTGCCAACGTAAGTAACGGGAGGTCACAGACTTGGAAATTGCTTTGGCTCAGTGCAACAGTCGAAAAGAGATAATAAAAATAAGAATAAAAAACACTTCTAAAGAATAAATTTAAATTTAAAATAGAGTTACAGTTACTATTTACAATATACAAGTGCACATGGTGCACACAATGTAAGGTGACAGCAGTACAGTGAATTAAAAAGATAAAAGATAAATACTAAATAAATGTGTACTGTATGTATTTATTATTGATTGATTAATTATTTATTCATTATTTATCTATCAATACTTGTTTCTACTTTTAGCTCTAATGTCTATAATGCAATATTGGAAAGAAATATCCAGATGTAGCTGAGGACAGGAGATTAAAGGGTCATGTATTCATAGTGTCGTTGTTCACTAGTTTTAATATTTCTTCGGTCATTATTAGCATCAAAATAATTTCAATTCAATTCAATGTATTCTCGAATGTCCCTAAATCACAACAGTAGTTATCTCAGAAGACTTAACATTTCAAACGGACAAGAAAAAAGGTGTATCCAATGAGCAGGTAAAGGTTAAGAAAAATGTGTATGTACTGTGTGTCATTTCTTGGCGGGTCTGCTAATGCTTTTTTTCCTCTGAGATTTCATTGTGTCTGGATTGTTAAATTTTATGTTATTAAACTTCAGACACAAACAGGGATTGATTAGCAAATGTATGGCAAAGGGACAAAAGACGAATCCATGTTTTTTCAATGTAATTTGAACCACAAACTACTTTTTATAATTGTATATTTTGTGTGCTGTCTGTGTGCTCTTACTGTCCTGTATGTGCGTTGCAACATTGAAATTTCCCCACTGTGGCACAAATACCGCTTCTCTTACCTTACTCTCACATGTAATCATGGCTCTTCCAAGTTACACACAATCCAGTGCAATTCAGCCAAAGCAAGACAACTGTAAATGATGGACACAAAAAAAATATGACTCTATAACAAAGTACTCACCAGATTTAGAAAAGTGAGATATTTCCATGGACCTCCGTACACAAAAATCCCAGGTGGCAGTTCTTCCCCATCTTTAGCTGCCATACTTTGAACCACAAAGGCATACCAGCTAAACACCAACACGTGGAACACAGTCTTCAGGTTCAGAGCCATTTCTACAGACTGGACAATGTGGTACAAAATACACACAATGCACTTTCTATTTACACTACTTCTACTGTTGGCTTCTTGCGTTTGAAAACCAGTGCTGCTCACATCCTTTATATGGAGTCTGAGCTAAAACAAGGGCCTTCTGTTGACTGCAGAGAGCTTTCATAACGCTGAGTGCATGTGACTGTTACGATACAAGGAGATTATCTGGTTTAGTAAGAGACAGAGGGCGAGAGGATTAAGACACGGAGCGTAAATCAAAGAAAATGCTTACCATATTGTAGTAACGGAGGAAAGATGAGGCTAATTTTTTGGTTGGGACAGTGCATGTTAATGGACACACCGGATTGTAGTTAGTTGGAGCTAATTTGCCTCTGTTGTAACCACATTCGCACTCACAAACGCACACTCATTCACCTCAAACTAATGTACATGTTTTATAGTGGTAGGGGAAACCGGAGCACTCGGAGGAAACCAGAGCACTCGGGGGAAACACACCCAGACATGGGGAGAACATGCAAACTCCACAGAGAAAAGGCCCAGACCTTGCTATCCTGCATTTGACTTGCAACATTTCCTGGTGGCGCCACCTGCTTGTTAAAAGCCATTAAAACATGTGTCCAGCATTAATCTGAGCATGAAGACACTCGGGTCTTGCAATATTCCCACTAAACTAGTGCATGTTTTTAGGCAATTGTTTAACTTTGAACTCTTCATAAAAAGTTGTGGTACAATGTGTAAAGAAAAGATGAAAGCCAAACAGAAAATAAAATAGATACAGCAGGGGTGTCCAAACTATTTAGGAAAAGGGCCACTTTAGTTCACCAGACTCGTCCAGGGGCCAACAACATGGAACTTGAGCTTACGATTGTGTTTCATAAGTCCATATTTATTCACATCACAGCTGGTGCTATTTTGTGAGACAATCATACAACAAATGTGAGTAAATAGAAATAAAGGCTTTACAACGAGGTACAGCACGACTACAGTTGTTGGTGAAGCTGAAGTTTCTGGATGACATGGAAGTTTGTGCCAAGACAATTTCCAAGTGATAACTTTGTTACTCACGTGGCAATAAAAATTATTCTGATTCTGAAGTTTGGGTTAGCCAGAGGCCCACGGAAAATTACACTTTGGGCCGCATTTGGCACGCGGGCCTTAGTTTGGACATGCCTGAGTTACGGGAATAGTTGCATGGACATGTCAGAAGAAAGTGCATATAAATATATTTTGTTCAAAAAGTAAACACATTAAAACAAAAAAACCCATGTGCATTCTCCACACAAACATAAAACCAGGAAGTTCAATTTGGATCAGTTCAGAGTGACATAACTGTGAGGAACATTGTGACCCAGGACCCAAACCACTGACTTTGATAACACTCTGACGTTTTGTTACTTAAGCAATTTTACAGATATATAACACAAATACTCACTGAAAAAAATCCCCTTTCGTTTGAAAAGAAGGGTTTAAAAGGGTTGAAACTGTAACCTTGCCTGCAAGCTGAATTCTCGCGGTATTTGTGAGTTCACAAAAGAACGCGTTAGAGTTCTACACAATCATCAATCTGGCTCTTGCCAGGTTATTGAAACTGATCAAAACACTAAAATGTATAAGATGCAATAGAAGTAAATTTTAAGGACATTTACATATTCTTGAATCCAGCCAACAGAAAATTATCAGTTTTATAATTAAGCCTCATGGATGTTTTACACTTGGTTCACAATAAGTAACTTTAATACATGTTATTAAGTCCTGTCAGATACTTTTCTAGTTTCTAAAGAGTCTTACTTTCTTTGCCTCTATTCTTTAACATTAACATTATAAATCTAAATTCTGCTACTTAAGGGTTGTGTCTATGGTTATGTCATGTGTTTTCCAGAATTGAGCTCACCTATAACTTGACGTGACTCAGTAGCGCCACCTGCTGGTGTATCTCCAGACCAGCAGACAGACAAGTTTGTGTAGATGCTATTGTATATGTAAGATTCAAGTCATAATACTAACATCTCTGAGACGTCATGGACCACTAGTTATATATTAACTCATTATTTGATTTTTGGTTTTGAAAACAATCTCTCTTTCTTCAAAAAGTGTAATTCTAAATGAATGGTTATATGTGCTTATTATTTATATAATCCATGTTTCTCTGCACTAACGTCACCCCAAATAGTTTTGAGCTTAACCACGGACTTATTAGCCCAACTATTTACACAGAATTGTAAAGCTATTTACCATTAACAACAGGGGAACAGTGTGATGGATTAAAGTGCTATTTTTAGATGAAGCCAAAATCAGAACGTGACGTTTTAGTCCTCAGGCCCAGGGGCACAAAGCCACAACATTCTTAACATAGACTTTAAAGGAGACATGTAATTGATTTGTTCTTGAGCTCAAAGATTTAGAGCATAAAACATTAATTCAGATTTTGTAAGGATAAATAAGCTCAAATAAGCAAACAGGCTTCTTACGCCACATTTGGACAGAACATGCCCAATATTACAATAACTGACCATTAGGACAGTCTTCCTTTGACAATAAGAAACTGTCACTTTCTCTCAACAGTTAAATGCAGCAATGGATGAAGGAAAACCAAACACATTAACTCTTTTACCTCTTTATTGCTTGATGTTTGTGTATATTCTGTAAGTTGTTAGGTCTTCTGCCGATATAGGGACAAGATGGAAACTGCATTGATGCAATAATCTGGAATATTTAACATTTTAAAAGAAAGGACAACGAAGACAGATAAACAGGTTAGCTTCAGTCTATTCACTTTAGACGCTTTATTTTGCAATTGCTGTTTACATAAATGTGTTTAATTATCTAAAAGATAATTTAATTCAACATTAATGGTGCTTTGAAAGTCATAAGTGGTGCCAGTGAGATGTAATTTGCCATAGACATCAATTAATAATAAAAGTGATTTTAGACTGATAGAGACAGAAGTCCCTCTTATTACTTATGTTATTTTTAAAACTCGCTTTGTTCTTTTGTCCAAAGTATGACTATACCACATCCAATAGTGGAAGTCTAAACCATGAACTTGCTTAACTTAAACGTAGAGGGAAAATATAATGCCATACTTATAAACAATATAATTTTGATGGTCCAGAGTAAAAAGCATCCACCCACCTCTGAAGATGAATTTAAATAAAATAAAATACACAATACACAAAGTTTTTAGTTTTTATTTGCAAGTTCTTTTTCCATGAACAAATGACAGAAGGCAGCTGTGGTGGAATACAGTATATCTATGTATCATCTGACAAACAATCTGTGAACAGGATGTGGTTGGCTTCTCAAAAAGCCCCATATTTATAAAAGAAAATACAGAATGCACTTTTAGTTTGAACATAAAATTATAAAATGCTTTTACAGTGAACTTGACATCTGCAACATTGCAATAAACACTTATATACAATGTTTGAGAACAATATAATACAAATAAAACAGTAAAATATTGTGCCTGATTTGTCGCTTTCACTCAATCATACAGTGTCCACCAATATCCTTAACTATGAAGTAGAATCAACTTGTGGAAATCACAGTTTTGGCTTTATACAAGATTTTTTTAAACTAACATTTCTGTACAACGCAAAACAATCCAAGTCTCTTACATTGCACTGAACCCATAAAATCAGCGGCATTTATTTAACTGATCATTTTAGTAATATTTGAAAAACCTAAATACAAAATATTAGACCAAGTGAGTATGTCGTCTATTGTAATATGGTGCAAAAAGACTCGTATTTGAGGAATTATAGAACATTTGTGTCATAACGCATGGGATATCGAGCTATTCATGTGAGAAAACTTAAAGCTGGGGTACCTAACATTAAAAACACACAAATGTAATCAAATCTCACTAGTTCCGAGCTCTCAAACCAGTTTAATTCCATCACGTGTATGTATGTTTGGCCTCCGTTACGGCTTCGTCAGTGAAACAGAGAGAACCAGCCCTCACTCAGCCAATCAGCTTTCAGAAAACAATACATGATTTCTTAAAACAGCAGTTTGTGATCTGATTTGTTAACATTATACTTGGACAAGATTCTTTCTGTTGGCACAAACAAAGCAAATGCATGAAACAAAAAAAAGAAAAGCTTTGACATTTATATTAACTAACAACCTACTCATACATACAAGTGAATCCGCTTCAGTAGCAACATTTCAACACGTCCAGGGCACTTCTTTCCAAAAAAAATTACTTGTATATTTGGTCCCAGTTCTTTTCAACTTCAACCAACCATTGCACACTGCTCACTCTGACCTCTATGTTGGCACCTTATATAAGTACTATTTTTTGTTGTTTTATATATTGATTTTAATACATTTTATTTGAAAAAAACTATCCAACTCATGGCACTAGTACTTTCTACTCAGTGACATTGGAACGTCTTGTAGTAAATCTATCTTCAGGAATTGATGTAAGCTCCATAGTGTTCAAAGCCATAGTGATGTTTGTGGCCCCTAAAAAAATCCATTAACAACTATAATATACATGTTTAGGTTCATAATGGTAAGTAAGTAATCTTTATTTATATACCGCCTTTCACCGACCAGAGTCACAAAGCAGTTTACAATTGTTATTTTTTGGGCATTTGTCTCTCACTCCACACAGAGATGGAAGCGGGGTCGCCGAACAGGAGGCGCATGCCAGAACTATTGTACATATTTTTAGTGGTAGGGGACACCGGAGTACCCGGAGGAAACCTACGCAGACACGGGGAGAACATGCAAACTCCACTCAGAAAGACCCTGTTCCGACTGGGATTTGAACCCAGAACCTTCTTGCTGAGAGGCGAGAGTGCTACCCACTCAGCCACCGTGTCGCCCGGCTCAAAGTGGGCACTGTCTATGACTTATTTTGCAGAATATTCTACACATATGACCTCAAACAATTCAAAAACACAGTATTTATCTACAACACAACTATCATCATACTTCAAACCTACTGTACACTTTCCTGTCCTTTCTCATGGTCTGAATCCTCTCCAGTAGTTTATCTCGCTCTTGAGTCGGCTTTTGCGACGCCAAAGACGACCTCAACTCATTTTTGCGTTTTGCGTTTTTGTCGGCCTCGTCCTCCTTCTCGTCGTCTGTGACCGGAGCTTCTTTGACTGTGCTCGACTCGTTTCGCGTTTGGCTGTTCGCAGATATTTGTTCTAATAATATTTTCGTATCGTCTCTTAAATTACTGCTAGAGATGACGTTAGCGGTGGAGCTAAGGTAGCGCGATTTCTGCTGCTGTTTTTGTTGAGCCGCTAAATCGGATATGCTAGTATTTTCCTTAGTATTGTCATTAGTGTCTTTGCTCTTTTGTTCACCTTCCCCTGCAGCAGTTTTGGAAATGTCTTTGCTAGTTTTAGATTCTTTGTCCAATGACGTTGCATCTGTAGTCATTTCTGAGGTAGCATTACTCAAAATCTCGCTTGTCGATTCAGTTTTTTCATCTTTTACTGCAGCTACATTGCTAACGTCTACATGACTTTCAATATCAGCCGTTTCAACCGGTCTCAATTCAACTGTCATTTTATCGTCCATATTTTCGGACTCTGTGGACTGACCAACTTCACTTGCGATGCTTGGCACATCTGTTTTAGAGCCATCTTTTTCAATTTTCTCATTGTATGCAGAGCCAGTTTTAATATCACTAATGTCACCTGTCTGTGCCTCCGGTGTTTCTGGATTAGCATTGGACTCCACCTCACTCAAGTTCTGACTTTCATTACTTCCCTCTAGCTCAGTTTCTGATTTGGACGTCTGTAAATTCGAGCCAACCCCGTCAGTCTTACTTTTAGTTTCAATAGATGTATCCACTGTAGTCTTAGTTTCTGAAGTTTTATCCGCTATTTTGACTTCCTCGCCATTGTTTGAGGCGACTGCGCTTGCTGTGGTCTCTGCTGATCTTGTTGGTACAGCTTCAAACCTGCTGTAGACTTTTATAGTTTTGGTTTCCCCTGTTGAACCGAGAGACTCCTTGCTTTCTTCACCAATATTACAGCTAATTTCTGATCCTTTATCCCCAGATGTTAGGTCTTTTGTAACTTCAGTTTCTGGACTAGTTGTTGACAGTTTACTTGTTTCTTCCTGCTTTTCACTCTCAGTATTTGTGGTCTCATTTGTCACTTTTGAACCACTTTCTAGAATTTCTTTTGCCAAATCTGTAGAACTATCTGACTGCTTAGTAGCCGAGTTCACGCTATCAAAGCTAGTTTCAGAAGACGAAGGCTTTTGCTGTTGCTCAACTTGTTTTGTATTGGAAATGACCTTGCCGCCGTCTTTCACTGAAACCTCCTGTGACACAGATGTTTGACTCATTTCTCCTCTCCCCTCATCTGGTGAAGCTGCTTTCCGTCTGGATCCTGCTTCGATAACAGTTTCCGCTACAGACACATTATCGTCCAGCATCTCATCCATGCCGAAAGCAGATGGCATCGGCGACATGCTTATATCAGAATTGGGAGTTTGAAAATCTGACATGTCGGACACACTAGACTCCAAACTGCCCTTTTTGAACAAATTCTGGGGGTCATTTTTAACTGGTGAGAGAAAATCTGAATCCTCTGATGATATGAACTCAAGGGCAGTGGCGAATGATGCGGGGCTGGATGTATCGGAATGGGACTCTAGCGGGGTTCCCTCCTCTGTAGATGAGAAAGGAGGTCTCTGTTTAGTCTCATCAGCAGACATAGCCGAAGCTGTAACGCCTTCTTTCTCTATTTTATCAGATTGCAGCAACAAGTTCTCTTTTTTACTTGCCAAATTTGATCCAGCAGACAACTCGACCCCTTCTTTTGTAGCTGCACTCGCTTTTGTCTCCATTGAATCAGCTTTTTTAGTGTCATCTTTGCTACTAGATGGTATATTTTTGATAACTTCCTCAGAACCCTTTTCAGATGTTGACTGCTTTTCAACAGGCTTGTCTATGGCACTTTCTGGGGCTAACTTGCATTTTTCTGCAACATCTTGTTTTTGTGGTTCAACTTTCTCTGAACTGTTTTGCGATGCATTGTGACCCACCAATTTGTCAGAATTTTGATCGCTGTTTGAAACTTGTTCACTTTGATCAACTTGCTGTTTAGGCTCTGTTTTTGTCTTGTCTTGAGATTCATCATCTTTAGACGGATTGACTTCTTTCTCTGGTTCTTCTGACGCAAGTGACTGAGAAGACTTTATAGTTTCAGGCGATTTGACTAATTCTTCCTTTTTGGATTCTGTTAAAGACAAATCTTTCCCCTTTGCTGTTGAAGTGAGATCTTTAGTCTCCTCTTTGGTTTGAGTTGATTGACGAGTTGAATTTTCAGGAGATTCCTTGATTTGTGGCGTGGATTTTTCAGCAATACTCATCTTCTCTTGGACCGGTGAAACTATTGGGGTGACAATAGTTGCTTCTTTAGTTTGAGACACAGATTTCAATGACTTATTAGCAATATCTGACAGCGTATTGTCACTTTTACTCGAAGAAGTTTCTAATGTTTCCTCTTTTGGCAATTGTTTAGTTTCAGAAAGCGATTGAGAACTGTTTTCACTTGCAGATGTTTTGTCGCAAATTTCAAATTTCACATTTTTATCACTTTCAGATGCATTGTTTGTCTGACTGGGATCCTCTATGACATCCTCAATTTGAATAACAGTTGAAATACTCTTTTGCTTTTCTCCAAATGGCTTTAGGAACTCCCGTCTATGTATAGTTGGGGTCCATAACCTTGGCTTAGGGTTTGTATCTTTGCTAGACTCCTGTGATAGCGACCGTTCGTACATTCTCGCTGATGGTAAAGAGGACAGGTCCAACCCGAAGGTCTTTGCTAAGTCAGGCCCTGAATTGCTTGGTTTCAGCAGTGATTCTTTTGAGGTAGCATCATTGGTAGAAGTTAGTTGGTCTTTCTCAGCAACTTGTTCAACTTTAGCACTTTTCGCACCAACATTTGCCTTTTTCCTCTCGTCTTGTTTTTCAGTAGATTTTGGTACATCTGATTCTTGTGGAGCTGGCTTTTCTTGGGCTAGTTTTTCGGTAGACGTTGGAAGAGAAGGTTGGCTTTGTTTTAACTTTTCCGTTTCAATTTTAGTTTTTGATTTATAACAGCTTTGCGTTGGAGTGGGGTTTTCTTTAACCTCACAATCAACACTTTCAATTTTACCACTCAAGGTCTTTCCATCTTCTTTTCCAGTGTCGTCTTTAGTTGTTTCACTCGCTGACTTCAATTCGTCTTTCTGCACTTGCGCCACTTTTTCCTGTTTGTCTTGAATTTCTTTTTGTTTTAGTTTGGCCTCCTCTGCTGCTGCTTTTTCTGCTCTGCGTTTTGCAGCCAACTCTTTAAAAAACGAAAATCTCTGATCTGGGTCATTCATATCTACAAATGGCTGAGATGCAGCCTGATGTTGCACTGTTGGCAAAGGTTGCTGATCGATTTTGCGCTGCTCTATTTGCGTCTTTGGCAATGGCACGACTTCGAGAGATTCAGTTACCTCTTTTGTCTTTGTTTCTTTACTGTCGGATAGACTTTCCAACTTACTGTCTTCAGTTTGTTTCTTTGAGTCTTCCTCTGTTTTATCCGTTTTATTTAAATAACTCCTCCATTCAAAAGGCTTACTTGCCCCTGATCTTCTCTGACTAACAAACTGCAGTTTTGCCTGGTCCGTCTCTGTCTTAGTTTTATCTTCATCTTGTTCACTACCATCTGGAGGGGTCTTTTGATCCAGTGATTGAAATATGAGAGATGATTTTAACCTTGATCCCCTTTGCACTGCAGCATTGTACTTGCCACGAAGCGGATCCTCTCTCCTAAGCACTGATGTAATAGGCTCCCTTGCTTCAGCCTCCTCTTGCTTTTCTCCATCAGTTGTTGACGAAGAGTCGGAGGGAGTTGGTGTGGGAGCTTTAGGTCCGGAAACCACCATACCGGGGGGAACAAGTAATTGTGTAATTTCATCTGGAACCTTTTTAGAATAATCTCTTAGAGTTGTTTTGCCATAAGCGGGCATTTGACTGGGTCTTGGTAATGGCGGAACTTTGAATTCTCTAACATTTGGGATTTTTGGGACAGCTAAATCTAAGGCTTGTGAATGTGGTGGGGGTGTAGGCTGCTGCATGGGGTGTGAAACATCATCAAATGGGTCAACAGTTTGGCCTGGTCCCGTTGGCAAACCTTCAAGCTCTTCTGAATTGTCATAAGCGCTAAGGTACGAGCTAATCCTCCAGTTTCTCAATCCTCTTTTCACTGTGGGGTCTTTTCGATCGCTTGTAAGATCTGACATTAACTTTTTCTCTGTCGTATTCGAAGGAGTAGGCGAGGTGTGACAGGCAAAAGTCTGCCCAATATGTCTGTGAGGGTGCAGTGTAGAATATGGCATATCTGGCCCTGGAATCATGTTGTCTGAGCCTTGATCAATGTCAACGTTTCTAGCTGATGATAAATAGTTTAAGACGGGGTCAAAGTTTTGTTGGTCTATTTCTTGTGGATATCCTTGTTCCGGGTAGGGGTCTTCTTGTTGAAAATCCTGATTCCAAAACTTATCTATATGTCCATAGCTCCCATACTCTGGCTCATGTCCGGGATGGAGGTGTGGCTGCCCTCTGAACAACGGCCGACCAGGTGGCTCGACATCAGGTAATCCTGGATGCTGATATGGAACATTGTATCTACCCGGTTCAGCAAAATTGTGTCTTTTATGGGCGAGAGAGTCCATCATTCTTGTTGGGCCTTGATCAAACGGGGGTTCAAGTCTTGTTTGCGGGTCTAGTCTGGAAAGTGGCGGGGGATAGCGATTGTAAACATCCAAAGGTCCATGAAAAGTCTCTTGTCTTTTGATTCTCCAGTCCATATTTTCCTCATAACTCGGTCTATTCCACTCCTCTGTTGGTCCTAGATCCATTGAACGATATTTTAGTGAGTCCCTAATCAAGGGCCGATCTCCGGGATAGGGCCGCTTGGAGAAATCAGCTACTTCCTCCATTTTTACGATGTCCAAAGGTTCAGACTGAGCGAACAGGATCCGGAACTCCTCGTCAAACGTTGATACAAGTTGTCCCAGAAAGAGATGAGCCATGCAGCGGTGAAGCTTCTCGTACGACCACATGAAACTGAGAATAGACAAAGATCAGTTGAATATACAATCGAAGAGAAACAATACCCAATAGGTTGACATCATAGAAATAAACATGTTCTTATGCCTGATGGTTTTAAGACACATATTTTGATTTAATATGACCATTTGTAATTAAAATCCCCATATCCAGCCTCATATCACAGTGTTTCCCACACATAAGCGAATCTGTGGGGCACCACCACAGATTCGAGACCGACCGCCACACATTGTGTTTCGTTATTTACCTTGCGCCACAGTCAACTTAAGTCGACAAGCTGCGGTACTGTTTAAAACGGCCGACTGTGTCAAGCATTGTCATAATTCATTCATACTCCCTGCCACTAGTTGGCAGACATGTCAGACTACCTCCCTGGCCCATAAAACGTCATGCTCCCATACAAAATATTTGAACAAGACCGCATTGAACCAGAGCGGGAACCAGAGCGAAGCGTGTGCAGCTGCAGCAGCGTGCGAGTGTTATGCCGCACCAAACACTAACTTTAGACACTTTGCTCAGAGTCAGAACAGTGTTTGTCAGAGTCAATGAGAACAGTGTTTCTCAGGGTCAGTGCTGTCCTTGGGAGGTTCGGAGACAGGTTAGATTTGGAGAGAACAAGCCTGGAACTCCAGCCTCCGGCCTCTGCTAAAGTCTCCGCTAATAGTGCCTCTCACAGATGTATTATTGTGCCTCCCGGTCATCATCGGGGCAGTAACGTGTTGGAGAAGCCTTTGTCTTGTGTTTGTTAGACGAGAGAGAGAGAGCGGCGGAGATGAGAGAAATAGCGGGGAGGACGAGAGAGAGAGCGGGGAAGACGAGAGAGAGAGCGGGGAAGACGCAGGCACCTGGGCAGACTGCTCACAGAAGTCATGATTTGTATTTTCTACTATTTCCCTGAACATTTAGCATGTTGCAGTACGAGTTCTCTTTGTGTGTTCATGTCCTAGTGATGTATATGTCTGTCAGTTAAAACATTTTTTTTTTTTTTAAAGAAGATTCTAAAATCCACAATTTCCAACGTCATATGACGTCATAATATGCAAATTAGATGGGTACACTTATTATTTTTCTAATTTACAGAAAGTCTTTATCTCTTATCACTTTTAAGTTATAGCCTTTTGAAATAAAATTGAAAGTCAAAATTGAGTATTTTCCGTGATTGAAAAAGGCAAAGGGGGCCCCCACACCCACACATTGCTGTCAAATCTGTGGGAAACACTGTATCATATCAATGCTGTTTTCATTCGCTGTTTGTTGTGTCCTGGACTTGTGTGTTTGCATCCCTACCCTTTTCTTAAAATAAAAAAAATCCTTGTGAAAAGTTGTGCAGTGCACCTTAACGGCTGAAAGTTGATACGCCATCAAAACTTTTATAAACTCATACATACATGTAGCTGCCTATACATTAATTAATGTATTAATTTATACAATTAAACTCTAAGTATAGCATTTATAATTGAATGGTATTATTTCCAAAACGACACATGTTTGATATGAAGCTAGCTCATTTGAAAAAACATATCTCAGTTCTGAGAATTTTCCTCTAGCTTCAACATTAGCTGTAAATTTGCTTTGAAATAGATCTGTTTTTTTTGTTTTACCACTCGGTAAAAGGGCAAATTGTAAACCATTAAAAAATGTTAGTACTGGCACTTATCTGTTTTGTTATATATTGCACTCTCACCTGTAGTTCCCGCTCAGCACCGCTCTGCAGTCGGTGAGAATGAAACGATCCAACATTCGTCCTTTGAAGCTCTTCCCAGTGCGACAGTGATACGTGATCCCCGTCACCGTCCTCACACGCAAATACTAAAAAAGGAAACACAAAAGCCTAGTCAGTGTAGAAATCCAAACCAGTAATTTAAAGGGCCTATATCACGGTTTTTGACTTTTCTCTGCTTTAAACATGATTACAATGCTATTTGGCCTTCATACACAAGCCCACAGTAGTTTATTCATTGATTCTGTCAATTTTTTGTAAGAGAACAATCTGTCTCCTTCCCCAGCGTGAGGCACAGAAACGCTCGGGTCCACTTCAGTGACGAAAACCACACTGATGACGCGCATGACGCGCATGACGCGCATGACGCGCATGACCCCGTTTGCTTTGTATTTAAAATAGTTGTTAAATACTTTTGTCAAAACGGGGTAAACAATACACAATTAGTATGCTGTTTTTTGTCAAAAATAATAAAAATAAAAATAAATTAAAAGCCGGCGGGAGGTGATTGACGGATCAAAACAGCGAATCAGAGCGCACAGGCTCCGGCCTCCGAGTCCAGCGTCTGTGGTCTGGTCTCGCGGACACCACATAGAGCTGCTGTTATGCTTTTGTCAGAAACTAAAAGTGTTAGGATCACGTCAACTTGAATGAAGTGTGTTATGGGTGTAAATATGTGACACACTATTTGGCCCTAAGAGGAAGAAAGCGGCTCGACTTTTTTCATCTGTTCATCTCATGGATCTATTATAATACCGGTTCATCTGCGACACTTCACTGAGACTGTTCCAGAACTACAGGGACAATGGAACTGGACTTACACAAAAGCTGATGTGGAAACACGTTATTCCCACGGTAAAAGACGTAACTCGGACCCCCTCGATCTGTAAGTAGTGACGCTAACTCGCTGTATACTTCTGTAAACTAAATAACTAGGGTCTGATTGTGCATCGAGGACATAGGGCTCGATGTGACGGATTGTCATTGTTGGAAAAAGTTTATTCTTATGTATGAAATTACTAAGTACAGGTGATAAACGACAAAAGCGTGATGCTACGTCACCGTGCGGGCGGGGGGAGGCGGGCTCACAGGCAGAGGAGCAGACTCTTCTCTGGATCAGCTCGTTTGAGTCGAGGTGACGTCACCTCTATACAAGAGATGGCTCTAATCTCACAAGCTTTGATTGCTGTGTGGTGTATCATACACATTAATATCACACATGTGTATAGGATTGAGTGTGAAACATGAAGAAAAGCGTGATATAGGACCTTTAAATACACTGTTTAATCGTTACAATTATTACTTCAACCGAGTCTCCACCAGATGGCAGCAAAGGACTAACAACTTAGGAGTTCAAAAGTGGTGCAAACTTTGCCAGAGCAGTCTAGAAGAAGAAGTTACAAGACAAGTTAAATTATTCCACAATAGCAGAAGAATAATTCACTTGATATAAGGAAAGTTAGCCTTTTTTTAGGGCAAACAATTTAGATTTTCTTGATTTCAAGTTAAACTTATTCACCAATTGAATCTTGTTTCATTCGCAGATATTTGAAGCAGTGAATATTTGAAATCAATGTTTGAAACCACATTGTAAGGCACTTTGGGTGACCTTTGTCCGTGAAATGTACTGCATAAGTAAAGTGAATCTAAACACTGAGAGTAGTATGTAACAAATAGACCTGAATCTCTCCATACACAATTCTGCTCTAAGCGACTGACGAACAGGTTAGAGCTGAAGTTGAAGAGAAAAATGTAAATGGTGCGTGTTTGAATGTTGATCCTGTTATTCTCTGAACACGCAAACATCCCACAACACACTATAATAATATTCAACTTTCTTTACTTTTTGACATGTATATTTCACCCTTAATTAGGAGGCCAAAGTTACAGTAAACATAACATTTAAAGAGTGATAAGTTCAACAACCAAAAACTTTACAACAGATCTCTCTGAATTAAACATGTGCAAATTGTGCACATTATTACTTTATTACTATTGTTAGTGACTTTTATAATGATGTATTTACTGATGTTTGTATTGATGATGCAGGAGAAATGAAAGTGTCCAGCAGAAAAAATACAAGGATCAATACAATGTCCATCCACCTACTGTATGTAACTTATAATAAAACTGAGCAAATAGGTCAGTACAAAGAATCCTCCACAACGGCAGATTTCACTGTGGGGATTGCAACACGTACAAGAAGACTCCTCACGACCGGTCGATAAATCTGGGATAAAATATTAAACTATAAGCAAGCAAAAAACATACTGGTATCTCTTCAATATTTCTGTAATGTGGATGTAGGTTTGAAATACATTTGTTAAAGGAATAGGCCTCCGTTTTTACATACTGACATAAGTTCTTACCTTACCTTAGACTAGTTGATATGTACCTGTCTGGTCTTTGTCCGTGCGCTCTGTCATGCAAACGGAGCACAAACGCAGCCTCTTCCACAGACTGTATAGTACCAAATCAGCTCCCGTTAGAAGCTACCAAACTCTTCCACGTGTTCCCTATTTAAATACAGTTAAGTGACGTGTTACACTACAAAGTATAGTAACACAGAAATGTAACATGTCGATTTTCTCAGCGGATAAAAAGGGGTACTATATTGTGAGGCGTAATAATACGAGGAGCACTACGTCCGCGCACTAACTTCCAAGACTTCTCTCCCGCTCACTTCCGTCAATAGAAGCAGCATGGGAACACGTGGAAGAGTTTGGGAGCTTCTAACGGGAGCTGATTTGGTACTATACAGTCTGTGGAAGAGGCTGCGTTTGTGCTCCGTTTGCATGACAGAGTGCATGGACACAGACCAGACAGGTACATATCAACTAGTCTAAGGTAAGGTAGTAGTAGTAGTAGTATTTTTATTTGAGCAGTTTGACAATACACAATAACATGCACAAATAATACAAGAAAGACAAAAAAAAAGGCTCAAAAGGAAAAGGCCGAAGCAAAAAGCTTATATGTGCCTTCCCCATTATCAATTAATTAATTTAAGCAGCTGCAAAATATTTAAATTTTCACATGACATTCCTGATTTTTGCCATCATCATTTTTATCTTGTTGATGCAAACAAACAAAAATATCAGCAATCCTTATCAATTTATGTTCCATCCAGTTCATTGCAATAATAAATGTAATCTTCATTGTTTTTACAACATGTGGTGCATTCAGAGCTGTAGCCCCCTCTGTGTCTGGAAACTGTTCTGTGTAGTGCATTAAAAAGACAAGGCTTTATGGACCTATTGGAGGGAGGGGTCCTCTACCCAACAGACCCACACCATGTCTACCCTCATTCTCAATTTGTCAGTGCAGCTGTGTTCAGGTAAGAACATATGTCAGTATGTAAAAACGGTGGCCTATTCCTTTAAAGAACGATCTTATTGGTCAATAAAACACCTTTCGTCGGAAACATTCCAATTAATCATCAAACCACAGGACGTGACTCTGCTGGGGTAAAAAATGGGCCAAAATGTAGTTCATCTGAGAAAAAAAATCACTAAGTACTGAGGAATAATTCAGAGCTAATTCTAATTGTATTAGTTTATTGGGACAGGAACAGTAGACCTAAAGGAACATTGTAAATATGCCAAGCTAGCGATATAGTTACAAAGCCATATAGTTTCCAACTGTAGTCCCTAAGCAAATTATAACATTTAATTGTAGGTAATCTAGGCATCAATCTTTGTTTGTGTAATTGAGAATATTTCGCCATCTTTACTGGAAGATATTTCAGACAAAATAGGTAATTATTTATTTGACAGTTGTGCATGTGTCCTGAACATTTTGTCTAAATCCTCACATAACCTTTTGCGTTATGTTGCACAAAGACAAGCACTGGTCTGGAAGAGAAAGGGATTGTGGCCAAGAATAATTAACCCTAACCTCACTGCAACTTGAGAGAAAGATTTTTTTCCCCAAAAGATAAACAAACAGACAAACAGACAAATGCCATTGATCACTACTTCTGAGATTCAGGTAAATAGTCAGTGGTGGAATCATCTCTGTAGGAGACGGATCAGGGTTCACTGGGTGTGAATGTGGTTCATGTGTGTGTGTGGCTCCACAGCAGGGGGCGGGGCTCACGGGGCAGGTGCGCGTACACGAGCAGGGGTAAAAGTGTGCGTGTATCTGTCAGACGAGTGATGAGTCAGGGCTGAGTGGGTAGCCATATTTTTTGTTGACCGTTCGTTTGTCTTTTACATTTTTGTTTGCTCTCATCAGGTCATATGTTACAGTTCATCGGTTTATCATTTTTCCATATTTTGTTTGCTGCACCTTTTAAGTCAATAAATCACTTTAAAACGCAATACAGGATCAAGACTTCTTTAGCATAGGCTTCAAAACGCGTTACCACATTTACAGGACCCACTCTGACCGGCTCCGCGGCTCAGGTCTGCAGGAAGCCGCAACAATCTCAGTTCAAGAGAATAGTTAGTCAGTGAAGTGGTGTCACCTGAATGGCCTGCAGGTTGACTCTGCAGTTGTGGACCATGCGGATAAAGTCCTGGATGTTGGCCTCGTCCAGCAGCAGATAAACCGCCACGTTCCTCGTGGCGGCGTTCAGGATGTCCGCGAATATGTCCACGTCTGAGAACACGTCCATCACCACGGCGATCACCTGCAAACGCAATATGAATATGAAAGAATTCTATCCCATTGAAAATAGAGCAAAACAAACTTACATGTGAGTTTATGGGAAAACAGCTTAAGCATAGAAGTTGTTTTGAATGCTTTCTATAAGGTAAGTAAGTAAGTAATCTTTATTTATATAGCGCCTTTCACAGACCAGAGTCACAAAGCGCTTTACAATTGTGGGCATTTGTCTCTCACTCCACACAGAGAGCAAGGTGAAAATCAGAAAATCAGAGGAGATAAATACTCAGTGTGTATTTTAGATAAATATCAATGTTGCTCATCATTTCTCCTCCTGCTTAGATTGTCATCAGGATATGTTCATGTTAGGGTTATTTGAGACAGTGCATCAAAAGTAAATGTGCTGAAGTTGGCCAGAAACGTTTTAATAGTGGTGAAATTTTCAGGAAGCAAACACAATTAAAGTTCATAAAATAAATGTATTGGCTTTCTGATTCTTCAGTATTTAAAAAGCTACCTGAGCTTGAAGAATAATATAAGTAGCAGTTACCAGACCTAACCTTGCAAAAGTTTGAGTTTTTGAGTTGTTCAAGGACAGTGGCGATGATCCAAAGAATTCAAGAATATTTATTAACATTAAATGGATATTGGTCATCTGCCCCTCGTGGACAAATGGCTCCTGTGTTTGTTATGCATTTGATGTGTGTTTGATTCTCTGATCTGTGTTGGTGAATCGACAACTTTAGTCATCTCTGAGGACTTTTAAACTTTGTAAAGTCCTCCGCGATGGCTACTGTTGTGATTGAGGACTATGCAAAAATACATTGAATTGAAATGAATTGAATTAAAAGGCAAGAAACTGTTAAAAAAAATTGAATCCAAATCCAAATCCATACTCTCTGCTCTGAAACGTATGACCTGCGTCTAAAACTCACCATCTGTGCGTTCTTGATGAGCCGCCTCGCCTGCTCCTTTATACTGGGCATGTCTGGGGCGGCCGGGTTCACCAACGTGGTCACCTCAGCGGGGCCGATGAAATGGGGGCCGATCTGAGGCCAGCCCAGGTCCAGTCCAGGCGCGTCCAAGTCTGAATGCATGGGCCAGTACGTGTCCGAAGAGCCATCTGTCCCAGCCGGGTCGAAGTACCTGTGCTCTGGGTTGGCGCTCTGCTTGGGGAGTTGGATAGAGTGTTGGATGTAGTCGACCTCCGAAGGGGCGAGGAAGTCCACCACGTCGGCGGCTTGGAGGAATTTAAAGTATCCATCCAAGTCCTCCTCGATCAGAGAGTCTATGGCCAAGCGGTAGTCCTCTCTGTAGTGAGGCGGGAGGTAGTTTGGGTCCAGCGGGTTGTCTCCGGCATCGGAGCACTGCGAACGGCGAGCCATGGTGATGTCTGATGAAAGAAAAGAAAACGTTTAATTATGAAAGGAGATGTACTAAAATGGTCATAATATTACTTTTGTTTTTGGAATCATAAAAGCGATGAAGTAATTAATCATATTTATCTATATAGCGCCTTTCACAGATCAGAGTCACAAAGGGGATACAATTGCTGTTGGCATTTGTCTCTCACTCATGCCAGAGCGACAAATGGCCTACCACATTATGTTTTCAGTGGTAGGGGAAATAAGAGCACCCGCAGGAAACCTACGCAGACACACGGTGGCTAAGTGGATAGCACTCTCGCCTCTCAGCAAGAAGGTCCTGGGTTTGAATCCCGGTTGGACCAGGGCCTTTCTGAGTGGAGTTTGCATGTTCTCCCCGTGTCTGCGTAGGTTTCCTCCGGGTGCTCCGGTTTCCCCTACCACTAAAAATATGTACAATAGGTCTGGCATGTGCCTCCGGTACTGGCAACCCCACTCCCAATTGTAAACTGCTTTGAGACTCTGATGTGCAGTGAAAAGGCGGTATATAAATAAAGATTACTTACTTACAGGGAGAACATGCAAACTTCACTCAGAAAGCCCTTTCCCGACCGTGATTCAAACCCAGTACAATCTTTCTGAGAAGCGAGAGAGCTTTCCACTCATCCATATCACAAAGTTGTGTTTTTTACAGACTTGAACCAACACATGTGTATGCACTGTATGCATGTTAGTAAGTCAGTAAGTCAGTCATCTTTATCTATTTAGCGTCTTTCACAGACAGTGACAAAGCGCTTCTACAATTGTTGTTTTTCCTTTCACACCACACAGCGATGGAAGCGGGTCGCCATACAGGAGGTGCATACCGGAACTATTGCACTCGGAGGAAACCTACGCAGACACGGGGAGAACAAGCACAAGCACTAACCACTGCACCACCCACACTTCACCCTCAAGCAGAAACCCTTTAAGCACCAGTTTTTGTCAGAAGTTTGACATGAAACAAACAAGTTGGTACTAAAATGTAAGAGATGGAGGAAAACAAAAGGATCTTTATTTGTGACTACATGTGGAATAAGGTGGACAACAGCTATTTAGAGGGGACTAAATATATGAACAATAACTTATTAAAATGCTTCTAAAATAAATAATACACATATGCTAAAAGGAAAATGGAAAGGACATTTTTTGAGGGAAGTCAGATTGCTTGGTAAAAAATGTCTTGGACTCAGGAGCTAAATCTGGCTACTTTTACAGTATAGTCCACACACATATATTAAATACACAACATATTTTTACTGATACTACTTAAGTAATTAATGTTGCCCTTTAAATAGATGGTCACAATGTCCATAAAAGTAGCTTGTAGTAACAGCTGCTCTGGATCAAACTAAAGGAAGTGAAGCTGCCAGTCTGCCACGCAAACCAGAGGAAATGTGAGTGAAGCATCTTGTGCAAGAACAACAGTAATAATACATCTGTGCTGCTAAGTGTATACTTCACATACCAACCTTCAAACAAGACTAGGACAATATAGATTATTTCTTTCATCCTTCTCAGTGCATGGAAGAATGTTCAAAATGAATACAGTAAGAACAAAGCGCATTGTCTCTTTGGTACCAAAAAATGAAGGTGTTTATGTGGACCATGCGGATGATGCGCCCAGTTTTAATGCCATCTTGTTTTGTTCAGCACTTTGAGTTGCCTTGTGTATGAATTGTGCGATACAAACAAACTTGCCTTGCCTATGTTAGAAAGATATTTAGCCCAAACTAAATCTCTGTATTCCATCTCTCACACGTCACAAATAAAGCTTGGTTTTGTCATAGTTTTTATACACAACCTTTCTTGTTTTGTCTTATAATGACACATCATACTTATACAAGGTTTTTTGGACACTCAAAGACGTTTCTCATCATTAATTCACTTCGTAAATAGTGGTTGTGAACTCCTACTGTAGCCACAGCTGCCCTTGGGGAGACTGACAGAAGCGAGGCTGCCATTCATTAGCTGTTAGCTATTAAGCTACAGTCTGGTTCAAGCATCTAATAATCATAATGTAAGGTGTGTGGTATTGATAAATGCAATGTTAAACTTGGACATCAGCCCCTCTGACCACCACCAATCACTCAAGCTCACATTAGACTCATAGGCAATCTGGGTGAAGTGTCTTGCCTAAGGACACAACCGTTTAGCACTTTACAGCTGCCCCACTAACTGCTGTTCTCAGAGGACATCCTTCACAACACTAACCAGGCCCTGTCCTGCTTAGGTTCTGAGACCTGACAGGCTTTTCCTTGCAGATATTACCACACAAGACCAAATACCACAATGTCGAAATGTAACAATTTTAATTCCCAGTTAATAATCTATATTTTGGGCGGAGGGTGTCAGAAGTAAACACGGTGTAGTCATGACACAGATAAGAGACTTTGACATCCTGCCTCCAGGTTGTGTCATAAAATATGCTGTTACTCGAGGGATTTACACAATTTTTAAGAACATTACAAGATATTCTTTTACATGTAATTAGTCAATGTGCGTCATCTGAATCTCACGGACACGTCGATCCTGCCGCTGGTCCTGTTCAGACTAACTTTGTGTGACTCTTGTCTTTCAATAAGAATTGCGCAACAGAAGTAGAACATTTTTCTTGTATTAATGCTTCACTGAGTCACATTCTTCACCTGTGTTTTCCAGTTCAGACACAAAGAACAGACGCCACACTTTGTTTACTTTGCGATTAGACTTTGCACACTTTACATTATGTTTCTATGCTTGTCTAAATAAATAAGTGAAGTAGAACCAGGGGCGAGTGAGAGAGGCCTTCACCCATATTGTTTATGCAAAACAAACCAAGAGAAGAGGACAGAAAGTAAACTGAAAGTGTAGCTCATACAAGACTTCAAGCTTAATGTCAAATGTATAGCACAACATCAAACCATCCTAGGATTAAGTCTGTGTAGATATAGATGGATAATATATAGGCTTCATTGGTCAAAATTAAGGAAATTCCAAATTAAGTGCGTATTATGTACTCTGAGGGGTCTAATAAGTCATTACAATCAATATCCTGCTTTTGTAGCAAGAACACATGTACTGTAGCTGCAATCCACCTGCTGGGGTTTAGCTAGAGGGTTAGGGTTATTCAAACCTTCATTCAAACAAATGTGTGGTACTAATTTTTGTTTGTGAATTATATATTATACATTTGCTCTGCTAGTTTTCACACTAACCCTTTCAACCCTAATGAGGACCTCATTCTGCTCACTGATTGGAAAATCTAATTGAAAATCTTACACATATAAAAGACAGACGTAAAATGTAAAATATCCTTTACTATAAAATCGTTAAAGTTTAATTCCATATTAAAATATAATGCCATTATGTTTCTTCAAATACATGGTTCCTGTACTCTGTTTTGACTTTGATATTATAATTAAAAAATAAAACAATTAGAGCACATAAGAGTCACTGGTCCATTGGAAAACAAACCAAAGTCCATAAATGTCGCGGGGCATTGCCTTCTCTATCTTTGTCTCATTTAGATTCATCTTTAATTGAGCCCTAATAAAGCAATAAAGCTGTAAGTTACAACCACTACAACTACAACCACAACAACAATGTTTAGAGACGTTTTGTGCAAATAAACACAAAGAACACATAGAAGACAAAATCCTGTTTAACTTAAATGAGTAAATAAATATTTGAATCAGTATTTAAAAACTATTTCCATGTATTTGGCGTGTATTCAATTGAAAATAGGTTCAACAGGATATTTTTGTTTTTATTCTTTTAAATTTTACACAACTTCATTGCTATTAGAGTTTTACTACTACTACTACTACTGCTACTAATATGGAGACTAGTGCTACTGCTGCTACTACTACTACTATCTATGCTGCTAATACTGCTACTGCAACTGCTGGTTTTTCATCTAGCACGGCGCCTACATACTAATACATGTTAACACTATTTATATTGGTTCACGATACACTGCAAACTGACCATCACTGCAATAATACTTGCAGTACATTATTTATATATAGATATGTTCACAGGGTAGAAGGTCCATGAGACACTAAACAGATGGCTGCAAATCATACGAAGGTAATGAAATGGGTTGAAAGACATGCTGGCAAACACTCCCTGACAAACATGACACTGCATAGAAACCAGAGCAGGTTGCCTTCCATTATTCTGTGCAAAAATATGACATAAGAGTGGATTGTTGGGGACTTTGATATTTCCTGATTGCAACTATCAAGTTCAGTCAAATTGCATTGTCAAAATCAATGTATTATTAAATGTATATATTTGTCTGGTGCACACTGGGGGCACTTTTGCACATGTATGGGTTAGGTTTGTGGTTCTACAGCAAATGACAAATAAAATGATTCTGAATATTTTTGTATGGCGCAAAATCACAACAGAAGTCGTCTTGAGGGCCATTATGGAAATGTTGATTCGCCAACAGCAGATTAGAAAATCAAATTAGGACACATTATAACTACAATATTATTCTTTTATTTTAACATGTTGGAGACACACACTGGATTTATAGCCTCAAGATTAAGTTCAAGGACGGCCTATTAAAATGTGTGTTTTTTTAATTTTTATCAAGCCAACATGTCTCAACTTAAACCAGTAATGAAATATCAAAGACCAATTATGATGAGCACCTGGATCTGGAATATAGACAACTAATTCTTCAATCTCATGATTCAAGTAGACTACAAAGATTTATCTACAGATGGTTTCATATGACTTGAATTCTATAGCTACAGTTTCTAGATAGGTCTGGGTCACTGCTGACTTCAAGCCAGAGCTGTTTTTCCAGTGTAGTATGACCAATTCAAGATACAGTTTCTTGAAAATAGAAGGAAATGTCTAAACAATGTGATGTATACAAGGTCACATAAACAAAAAATCAGAAACTCAGAAAATAAAGCAGCAACATCAGAATGGTTTGCTTTTCTCACCCTAAACTCTATCCCCTGATCCAGCTATAAACAAGTGCAGATTTATCCCGTGGCAACAATAACAAAACTTTTACATTACCCTATTTACACGGGCATTTGACTTCTGTAAGTGCACTTTTCTGGGATAATGAATGAAGAAAGAATAAAGAGGAATCGGGTGCAGGGTGTGGCTCCTCCCTCTGCCCAAAATGCTCTTTTGCAAGTTCACGTAAAGCCACTAAATCAAAAATGCACCAAAATGAACCAGAACTGCAAAGTATATACAACACAAGCACGATCTCCTATACAAACAAGCCATATTGCGTTTTACAGCCACAGTTTGCGCCCTGTTTTGCGTCAATTCAAACTTTTTCTGTCAATTCTTTCAGTGTTTTCGTGCAGTTGTTGCCCGCGGAGCAGCAGCAGCATATGTCAGATCATTACGCACGATTACGCAGGGGTGAAGTTACAACACAGCATCGTAAACCACGCTTAATACGCGACTTAAATGGATCAAGTGTGTTCGTGTTGGCTTGGCAAACAACTCGAACTCACCACGCTGCTCTTTCCACGTCACTACGGCGCTTGGTTAAACTTAAATCCAGACATTTTTACGCGTAGAATTCCTCGGCGATCCAAAAAAACGCTCCGTGTCCAGAAAGAGATGGGACTCTGAAGTCAATAGTTAAGAGCTACATCGCTATTTTCTCGCTTGCAATGGCCCAGATAAACCAGTTTAGTGTCACGCTTAAGGCATGTTGGTAAAAATGTTTGTGAAAAGACAAGCGAGAGAGTGAGAGAGAGAGACAGAAGAGTTTTGCCTGGAAAGTGGCCCCGCCTCGCGTAAAGTCACAACCGAGGACAGTGGCTGAACTATGAACAGCGCTTATCTGCACAAGAATCCTAAACTTTACTGCGCCAAATACACCATTACCAGCAAATTAGGGCCATAAAACTGTTGAAATCAGCTGTGAATACTAAAAGCTGTGTGCCATGTTTGTTGTGTAGTGGATGAAGCCCCAAATATGTCCAAATGTGTCCTCTGCTGTTTCCCCCATTCATTGTTAATGGTTGTGATAAGCCGTATTGTACAGTAAACTGAACTAAACTGAACTGGCAATCAAGCTACAAGTTTTAAATAGTTATATAATAATATCTAAGGGCGACAGTAGCTCAGTTGGTAGAGCATTGGCCTTTGGGCCTGAAGGTCGTGGGTTCGAGTCCACCATAAGACCTACTTCACGACTCCCACTGATGACTGCTGTCGTTGTGTCCTTGGGCAAGACACTTAACCCTACTTTGCCCAAAAGCCCCAACTGAAAGATCTCAGCTCCTGTGGACTCACCACCTGCAGGAGGATCAGTGAGGGGCTGGTGCTCTGTGTACTGGGTGCAGCTCTGACTGCCACCCCCCCGACCCAGAAATGGATTAAGGGGAAGAAAATGGATGGATGGATGGATAATAATATCTATATCTACGTTTATTTGTTTGGAGGACAGTAGAGATACTAGTATGAAAGTCAACTCTGGTAGATGTGAGAGTCCTGCCTTAGTTAGATAAAAGTACAATCTTATTTTATGTAGTCAAGTAAAAAGTGATATTATTTTTTTGTGGCATAATGGGAAGATAATTTATTTATTTGAGACAGAAGTGAAAGTTTAAAAGTTGCCCACAAAAATAGTCATAAATAAAGTAGTGATACCATCAAAGTACAGTACTTACAGTACCAAGCAGCTCTGAAGAACTTTAGAGATATTATTAGTCATATTCAGTTTATCATATTATATTCGATGAATGCTAACTTTATGTGAACCTTTTTTATTTGTTGTACTTTATGTATTGGTTCAACACAATGGAAAATATTATTGAAGCCTTCAAGTAATGTATTTTTGCAATGAGCTTCACAGATGGACCAGGGCATAATAATTAACTGCAATTATGTGATTCATTCCATCATAAATGTAATTGTAGAGGATAAACTGCTCTAGATACATTTCCTTTTGGATTGAGCAATCCAGTCATTCGACAAAAGCTCTCAAAACTATATATTATCTGACAAGTCACAATAAAAATAAAACCAAGTAAATCCTTCCTCCACAGCTTCTGATTTCTGTTGTTTTCACATCAAACTACTTTCCATTTAGAATTCCCATTGACTATTAACATTTATCAAACCAGGAAAGTCCTACTCAATAGAGAGAGAGGAGCTGTTGTACATGTTTTTAGTGGTAGGGTAAACCGGAGCACCTGGAGCAAACCTATGATCCACAGGGAGAACATGTAAACTCCACTAAGAAAGGCCCTGTCTGGTCTGGAGGCAAAAGCCCAACTAAAAAACATCAATAAACAAATTGACAAACAGCCGACATCCTTACATTTTGGTGAGAGTATAGTTCTTGTTTTGGTTGTAAATTGTGCTATATAAATAAATCTGACTGGATTATGTCGCTTCTCTGTGGCTGTATACGGTTGCTCACCACCATCCCTCTAACCAACAGATTACATAACACACGCAGTGGCTGAGTGGATAGCACTCTCGCCTCTCAGCAAGAAGGTCCTGGGTTCGAATCTCGGTTGGACCAGGGCCTTTCTGAGTGGAGTCTGCATGTTCTTCCCGTGTCTGCGTAGGTTTCCTCCGGGTGCTCCGGTTTCCCCTACCACTAAAAATATGTACAATAGGTCTGGCATGTGCCACCTGTACTGGCGCCCCCACTCACAAAAATAACAATTGTAAACCGCTTTGAGACTCCGATGTGCAGTGAAAAGGCGGTATATAAATAAAGATAAAAAGAAATCAAAGCAGAGACATGAATAATGAGCCCTTGGGATAAAGTGAAAGAATCGCAAGCCTCAACGTTTGACCAGTAAATTTATGAATAAAAACTAATATATTGATGGTGTTCAATTATTATACCTCTGTTTCTAACGTAGTAGTGTATGTGCAAAAGAAGTACAAATATTAGTATATTGTGTAATTTTTCACCCATTATCATTGTTGTTTATTGTATTTTTTTTTCACCTTAAATGATAGCTCCCAACATTCTGTCTCCTCTCAGGCTTTTTATGTAGTCTGCATGAATATGTCTCCAATGCCTTTTGGTCGATTTGAATGAGTTATCAGTTGTGATTAGAAAACGTGCCAAGAAAATTATCAATACAAACTTGTATTAGAAAAAAGAGGATATTAACAAAAAATGTATTATTCTAACTATTTTTTATTATTAAAAACATACTGAATTTGGCATCAAGATAAATGCAATAAAATCACTGAGACACAAACATGTGCCAAGTGTATGGATTGGAAAGTTTGTATTGTGAGGTTGCTGCCGCGATAATTTAATGTTTACATTGTTGATTTTTTAAAGCATTTGTATTAAAATCTGTACATTATTCAGGCTTTAAGAATCAAATGCATTTACTCAAAATGGTTCAATATTGTTCAAATAAAAACAATATTACATTTCATTAAAAGATTAAAGGCGTATGAAGCTTTAGTGAAATTGTCATGGTGTGGACTTTTTGAGTTATCCTGGTCCATTGATGGTTAGCCCCCGCCCTGATGTGATTCACCGGTGTCTCCTGTGTTTTATTGTTACCCTGGATATGGTTTTATTTCAATATATCACACTTTCAGTCCAGCATTTTTGGTTTCCTTTTGTCATTTCAGCTCATGACAGAAATTCTCATAAAACACGCTCGTAAACTTGACTCCAGCCTTTCAGACGACTTACTGCAAATGGACCGAAAGCTTGAGGCATTTGAGATAAGAGTTGTTATTCTTGTGCTTTCCTGAGCCCAGACTGGAGTCGAAACATCTACTTAACCTGCCGCATTGCTCTGGGACCTGAAATAGCCCGGGAAATGATGCAACAGAAGCTGATGGACAAAACTCTCAAGAGACAATCCTTTATTGTTCACGCAAAAAGCAACACCCAAGACACACAGAGGAGCAGCCGGTGGAGAAACATGTAAATTGTTGCTACACTTCATACCACAGAGCACGGTCACCACAAGAGCATTTAACCCTTGATCAGCAAACTGTCTTTCAATGACTAAATCTCATTGCACAACATGGATGCAGTGATAAATGTGATTCTCTGGCTATAAAACTGCAGGATTATATAAATACACACAGATAAGGCATTTGGCTTGAATGACTGTGGTCGAAGCCAATCTCATTCTTAGCACTCCATCCTAGCATGGTGGCACAGCGGTTAGTACTTAGTTTGATTCTACCTCCTGACGTTTTTGTGCAGAGTTTTTGCATGTTAATCTTGTGTTTGCGTAAGTTTCCTCCGGGTGCTCTGATTTACCCTATAGCTAAAAACATTTATAATAGTCCCCAATAACAGCCTCCCCAATCCCACGCACGCCCCCCTCTCTAGGGTTCCAGGACTCCCCTGAAAAAAGAGATTCATAAATCTCAGTGGGACTTTCCTGGCTGAATAAACGTCAATTAAAAAAAAAAAAAAAAAAAAAAAAAAAAAAAATATATATATATATATATATATATATATTTGTAAAAGGACAGAAGATTGAGTCCAAGGTCCCCATCTACAACAACTCACACTATTTCTCACTCCAGCACGGATCCCGCTCCCCTGCCTCCCTCTACCTATCCATCTTGCTCCCTCCCTCCCCTCCACTCCTCATTGTGTTTCCGACTCACCCCCTCCCTGACCCCGCCCCCCTCTGACAGCCACATTGGGCCGGCAGTCGGAGGTGCTCATCCCGAGAAAATAATCCGTGGTTTATACAAAGCACAATGTGTCTATCCAATTGTCTGTGAAACTGTATGTTATTGCTCTCTGCTGTTTATTCTACTGTTTGTCGCATGGCGCCGTAAAGATGGCGCCGTGGCAAGAGCTCTGGTGTGTGTTGTCTGATGCACACCGGGGTAGTCTTGCACAGTTTTTCCAATGTGGTTTTACTGCAAATGGCAAATAAATGAATCTGAATCTGAATCTGAAGTTTGTGGCTGTTGTTGTATTGTAATTATATTTTCAGTATAGCAGTTTGATATTCTCAAATCATGAAGAAAAATTTGCAGACAGTCGGCTTAAGTTTGCAAAGAACCAAAGAAAAGAATGTTGAGTAATAGAATAAGTATTGCAGCAAATATGACAAAAAGGTTTTTTTTTCTGGAAAATGTAGAGCAAGAAAGCACATGGTTGAAATAACTCCATTGGTTTCAGAATTATAAATAAGACCGTCATTATTATTGGATTATCTGAGTAAAACAAAATATATCTAATAGAGCGGGTAAGTGAAGAAGAAACCCGTGCATATTTGGGGTTTTCAGAACAGAGGAAATACAGTTTTGTCTCTCTTTGAAGGGGACATGTGATTGGTGGTTTAACTGGTTTCTAGGCAACTGAATAAACAAGCTGCAACAACAGTGATGCAACGTCTGAGATGGCAACGGGGCCGTAAATGTACACGTTATATAAGAAAAATAGCAGGAAGTGATTCGTATTCTTAATTTCACAATCAGTAATGTGATTATACATACAGAATTCCACCTACCCGCCTCTGACTTTAAGCCAATCACAGATGGATTACATTTTGCAGTGAAAGGACAGTCAGGAGATGAGAGAGCCTTGTACCAATACTAACCAATAAGCTTAATTGTCAGATGATTTAAAAAACTCTTTCTCAGCACAGTACAAAACGAGAACTTTTCTAATGCTACCACTTGTACTGATTAGGGTTGGGTATCTTTCTGAGCCTGCAGATACATTATGCATCAGCAAGGGAGTTTCAATTCTTTATTTCTAACGGTTTGATTTAGTTCAATAAATAATTAATGCTTTTGGACCCTTATCTAATGCTGCGCCCCATTTGAACATAAGTAAAACACTATTGATGCATTTATATTTCATTTATTAAAGTCAAAATATATGAATATAAATAAATAAATGAAACAAAACAGTGAAAAAAAAAATCTATTCTTAGCGCACCCTATATACTGATCACAGACTGTAAATACTGTGTACAGGCTATTGTACAGATATGGATCAAGTCGTTCTAAACCTACTTTGAAAATGTCTAAGTTTAAGCTGATTGAGGATTCATTACATACTTTCTATTGTTGAGGTTTCATTTCTGTACTTTCGGCCATCGCTGGTTTATAAGAAACTGTCTTTGGACTTTGTGTCACCAGAGACCCAGCTGTAAAAGGGGTTATTTTGTTTTTTATTTGAGCATTTTTTACAAACATAGTTTGCATTATTAAAAGATTAAACTGTTATAAAGTAGATCAAAAGGAGTAGGCTGAAGCAAGAAAGCTTAAAATAAGGACTAGGAGTACAAGTCTTGACTTCAGCCGAAACCCTTTTTGGTCAGACATTATTTAGCACTTACAAACAAAATGTATAAAAAATGTAAACATTTGACCCATCTAAATATTCTTAATGGCCGAAGAAAATAACAATTACTACTACTGACAACTACTAAAAATATGCTGTCAAGTTCATGTTTATACGTATGTTTTTAAAATATTGATATCAATGTTAAAATGATTATGTAGTTTTATAATCAATGTATATCTGATTTTTGATTCTTTGACGACCATAGCCATTTCCAGTCTTTATTGATGTTTCACTTCTGTGCCTGTGGTTTGTTATATTTTATGTCAAAAGTTGTTCCAAACGTAAGCAAGAAACTTTACACAAGCCAGTATAATGCTGCACTTCAGGGTCTCTGGTGATTTAACACACAGTTAAAGTAATGCATCCAAGTCCCCAAGACACTATTGAAAGTCTGCTGAACTTAAAGTAGTATCTAAATCTTTCAAAATTGCTCAAAAACATGTATGAAACCGTAGTTGTTTGATATTATAGGCTCCTGGAGTCACTCCTACCAACAATTTTCTTGAAGATCATTAAAAGATCTGGGAGAATAAATCCCGGTGGGGTTTTGAGTGCGTACATGCTCACACAGGCAGAAAAAAAATCACAATTATCTACTTTATACTATCATTGTTTAAATCAGCATTACAGAATGTTCTTTAGTACTTCCATGAAAAAAACAGTGACTTTAGCTCATAAACCAACAACATTACTGCAAACTTGAGACTTAACTTTGAAGAAATAGCATTAGATTGAACTGTAGAATATATGACTAGTTTAAAAACTCAAATCACATCTTGAGTTATATAAGACATGCACCTGGACTTTGTTAAGGCCGCTTTCCAGCACAAAAAAAAACCCAGACCTTTTCCAGCTTCCCTCTGGTGTTTTGCTATGATTTGTGTGGATGCTAATAATTGGAAGTTATTCAGTTAGTGATTAAATGCAGTAAATAAAGTGCTGCTAATGAAATAGTTTTATGTTTCTGACAGATGGATGTGTCTGAACATAGATTACAGTTACATGATCTGCTCACAAGGAAGTTTTTCTCAGTGCTGATGGACAGGCAGAGATACTGGCTCACGAGAACTTTAAACTGTGTTAATAGGGCATGACATTTGTGAGACAAGTTC